CTTTGTATCCATTTATTCCCTATCATCTTGTTACCAACAGGGAGTTCAAAGGTGTTCGCCCATCTTTCCCTCAATAAACTGATACTGATGTCAAAAATGTCATAAATGGCAACTCTTTTTTGCATTCGCAAGCTTATAACAGAGCCTGGAAGTAATTCAATATGGTGGAAAATAATCCAATAAAAAGAGGAAAGTGAGTTCTTTCATTTCCAGCCAAATTGATTCATTTATCTTCAGGTAAATTTTTAAAAAATGTCAAAAACTCAATTTTCATTTTGCAATTATCTTGAAAAAGGTAAAGGAAAAGGGAAATATACACAGAAATTCGTCAGTTGAATATCTAATTAAAGTGCTTTTTAAAGCGCTTTAAAGTCTTTTTTATAAATCTTAGGAATAATAATATCAGACTTTTGTTTCGGACGTTCTTTTTGCTCGACAGTGTGTTTTGTTGTTTGGAGGTATTTATAAATATGGTCCACATGGCCATCTTCATAATAACTAATATCCAAAAAACTCATTTTTTCCGGTAAATGCTCTTAATATATGTCTTATTTTAAAGGTTTTGATGTAAAAGTCAAACGGCATGAAGATACTGAAAACGCTCGAAATTATGCCGAAAGTTAAAGGACGACATTAAATAAATAGTTAATTATTAATGCTAGTATGTATAAAAAATTGGCGAAAGAAAAGTTATTTGAAACAAAAAAAGTGGTTGGGTTATGTATTCAAATTAAGAAAAGACTTAAATTTATTGCTCTAATTTATGGCTATTTTCACGTCTACGGAACTCTGGGATTATCACGAAAATTTCGTTTTTCTTAAGAAGGAATTAATACTTGTTATATTTCTTTGAAGAAACAAATTTGCGTAAGGTTGTTCATCATTACTTCTAAGTTTTCGTAAATGCGTTCATGCCGGTATGCGAGTGTCGGGAATGCGTCCATTCCCACGATTATTCATCTTACAGAAAATTTCGCGAGTGCAACTTACGCCGCTGTCATGAGAGCGCGCCGTGATTATCGATTTTTCCTCATAGCTGATTGGTCCCATGTCGCTGACGCCTGCTCACGGAGCGGACT